TAGCCTATGAAAAGTGATCAAAAACGCCCCAAAATGACGATTTTTGATGGACTATAGCCCATGGAAAGTGCTCTAAAAATCGTGATTTTGATGGACTATAGCCCATGAAAAATGCTCAAAAACACCCCAAAATCAAAAACACCCAGAAGTGACGATTACATAGCGGAGAACTTCGCTTTATTATTTGGACCTTGATTTTGTACGTTTGTGTTTGTTGGTATCACACATTTTCATAATTGATTATTATCGTTTGTTCCACAGTTTTATGCGAACCACACTTTGTTGTTTCACGGATTTATGAACCTGTATATACTGAATACAATAGCTCATCTAATGACGTCCTTGGGCATTTAGACAGTGCTCTTTGACAAAACTGTATCATAAATTATTCTAGTTTTAATATTTATGAATTACTGGATAAACAAAGACTTATAAATCGTGCCATGTTTGTGAAGGACACTTAAGAGTTCTGACATTTGTTTGTTTGTTGTCGTAATTATTGTTGGTTTACTGTGTTGGTTAGTTTGGTTTAGTTCTTCACTATTCAATGGAATTCTAGTGACGTGGAGCTGTTCAGAGAGACATTGAGCTTGTCTTCTTGTCAAAGTTGGCATTCACAGGTGGCTGGACTTGTCCTTGACACGCTGTCCCCGCCTTCTTGTAGACAGGGCAACTRGACCTTCCATCACGCTCGTACGCAGGTCAATTAGAAGTCGCAACAGAATTTCGACATCCTGTGAAAAAAAACAGAGAAAGAAGGTGAGAATCATACACTTTTCTAACTAAATCAATAATATCTTGAAAAGAGAAAGGCTTTTTGGGGGGATAAAGGGATGTGTTTTGAAAGAAAGGGAAACGCAGCTCTTGACCTGGTTCGCGTTCTGGTTTGTGTATCATACCAAGTGCAAAACAGCTTTAAATTCTTTCTTAAGCTCACACAACGAATATCTGACGGCGTAGTTTTTATTTGAGCTCTCTGGATTTATATTTCGATGCAATAGAAAAGAGAGAAGAGAGTAAAACTTATTTTAGAGCGGTAATGAGTATCAAAAATGGCGYGCGTACTGGACAAAACTTTAATGAAGAAGCCTTCTGGTACAAGATCTTGTTTAAAACCTTTCCGTGTCTAGAAAGCCMAAACGTGAGTTAATTTATGAGATAAAAACTTTACAAATCACTGTTGGTGTCCGGTAATGGCATGAAAAACCATTGTACAAGTACTGCTAAACGCAACCAAGGTCCATTGTTTGTTTTTGGGCYATCTTCTCCAAGAAGCGATCATATTTAAAAACAGATGCTAAAATACCCCGATAGAATGAAATTAGCGGTTAGAATTGCGCTTTTTTCGTGTCTAGTTAGCCTGGTGTATTTTACCATACTGTATGACTCCATTGCCACAAAGACAGATATATAAAGATGGTTAGGCCAGTCCAGGGGGTACGACGAGATGCTAGCTTGAATACCTCGTCAAGTGCGAAGACTCTATGACAAATGAACGGTTTTTAATCGACAAAAAAAGGAAAATAAACGCGCTTAACGAACGCTCGTTAGTCCTTAACGAACTGCGAGAGGTATTTCTTTTGCGAAAATCGCAGTAACTATAAGTGTACACGTAATATTCCAARCAKACATTGTTCTTTCAGCGACAGGCGCTGTATTTTCGTTTAGTGTTCCTCTTAACGCTTGTTATCTTCTTACCTGATCTAAATTAAATTATATAGAAAATGAGAAGAGTTGTTATTTCAGTCAGGGAAAGCCAGTATCAAAGAACTTTGAAACCAAGGCGTGTCGTTCGCTCTTTAAGCACGTGTTATTTAGTGAGGCGAAAAAAATGTTTCCAATAAAACGTCCCGCAGACAATACACAGATACATTAACTGRAAGACTTCGTTCCAAATTCGCTCGTTTTGTCAAGGAAGTACCATGTGCTGTGRAGCGATGAAAACTGAGTTCTGTTTACTGTAAGGTAATGTTACTTGTAATAGCTAAAATCGTGTTTGTGTTTTTTGTATTTCTTCTTGGTGAATGATAGAATTGTATCTTGTTAGTTAACACAAGGAAACCATATCGCTTTTTTTGTTTTCTAATGAGTTTCTTCGTTCGTGTTCAGTCAAGCTTCTCGGGGCCAAAAAAACACATGCCTTTCAAGTCGATCAGTCTAGACTCATGGAAAACAACGTTGAAAAACACGATTGCTGTATGATATTCGGTTCTTTCTTTCTCCATCCTAAACGCTTTTTTCTGGTTATCTCGCATAGCTAACTCTTACACTACCAAAATACCGATTGTTCTGTGAACATGATACTTTTCGCAACAGCAAAACCAGTTTGCTCTTTTGTTAGGTATCGAAACATCGTACATCATCAGACTGCCTTTGAAAAAAAACTCACTAAAGTCGTCCTTACAATGCCATTTTAAAATAATTTTGAAACTGATTCTCAGTATTCTAAACCGTTGGCTTTATTGAGGTACAATCATTTTTTTGGGAGTCCTTTTCGTTTTGCCTGAATGATGATGGTACAAGCGTGGCAAAGCATTTTTTCATCTGCCTACATTTTACTCCGCAAAAGCAAAATTCAGTTAACATTCAGTGTTTTCAGTAAAGTAAAAAAGTAGATTACACGTAACTCTATTTGAAACGATTGGTTTTAGACTCATAGTATTATCATTCCCGCCTTTTGCAGCTCTGTACTTGCAGTGAGCCTCAGATTTCTCCATCAGCGCTAAGATTAGAAAGTGATCTTTTCCTCGACGGCATTTTTCTCTTTCTTAAAAACACAAATCTCCGTCTCCGTTGAACTTTTCCCCTGGTCCATAGTAATGCTAACCGTCCAGGTAAACTGTTTTTCCCATCTTATTACTTGAAACACGAATTCAACGCACATTTTTCGACATTTCTACTTTCTGAATTCTACTTGGGAGATACAAATGGTAAAAAATGCTGCAAGAGAACCATTTTCCTTTTTTTCAGTGTTTGTGTCTTTCTTTGATCACTTTAGAAACCAAGTTTGTTCTCATTGCAATCTTTTTATAATGTTTTATTACTAAACTCCACAAGTTATCGGGTTATTTCTGTAGAGGATGATTAGTCGACCATCTCGACGCGTTTGTCTCCTTCTTCGTCCACTTCATAAAATCGTTTTCTAAACAAAGAAACAGGATTTGATGCAGAACACATAAATATTGCTATCATTGATATCCCCGGTTTTAAAAAGCCTAAAGATTTATGTGGTAATGTGTATATCATAATAAACAAACAATGCTACAAATGCAGTAAACAAATACATTGTYTCTCAGTAATAGTGGGAATATGAACGTGTCGACCATTATTGGRAAAATGACTTCAGCACGGGTTACTTTGCTGTTGCGCAATGAAAGTTCAAAACGGAGCGCGACATATAAAAGTGATTTTTTTCAGTGYGCATTTCTTTTATTCATAAAGATAGCATCAAGTAATTAGTATATGATATGAGTATGAAGAGAAGAGAATAGTTAGTAAGTCATGGTTCTGACGGACGAGGAGACACTACGACTAACACAACCTCGCGATATTTGCTTCAAAGATAAAGACAGTCAATATCTGGCCATTTCGAAGATCAATAATCGTCTTTCACAAGTTGAGAGTCGTTTGTAAGACGATGTCTATAGCGATCAAAAGATTTCGGGAGATTTATAGTCGCAAGTATACCCATCAACAACTTCTACAGAAAAATATCAACAGATCGAACGCGAAACGACCAGCACTAAAGAACAAACGATCGTGAAGAAGACTTGATCAAACATTCGAATGTCACCCTGTATAAAAGACTAGAAAAAAACGCCCTGACGAAGATAATTGTTCTGTCAAAAGCGACGGGCATTAGTTACCTGTCAATCACTCATGAGTTGGCTGCTTGAATTATAGTCGACTTTATCAAAAACACTAAATTCCAATCGGAAATGGGAGGGAAACCACTCAAACTCAGAAGTACAACGCTAATTGTGATGACAGGATTCAGATTTTACAGCTTCTAAACTAGAGCCCAGTCTACTTCGCTCTGTAACTCAAAACCTAGTTGTTTTCTTCACTCTCAGCTCAAAAGTGTTGTGGCAGAAAGGGAACTAAGGAGAAGAGATTGATTGCACTAGTAAGAACGTTAATAGTCCATGTTTTTGGCTATTTTTTCTGTGTTGATATATTTTTTGTGACATGCTATATAAGGTTTTTAGATCATATCAAGCAAACCTGTCAATTATCTGTCAATCAAAAAGAGGTATAATTCCAAGTATTATTCCAATCCTTTCATGAATAATCCGCTCGTTCAAAGCCTTCTTTACGAAGGCACAGAGCATGAATTCATGCCGTGTTATTTGACAGGTTTCTCGTGGTAGCCATGTTGTYCACAGTTTGCCGCGCTCTTTCTGCTTGACCAGCTTTCTATTCCTGGAACTTACTCTTCTTTCAGTCTTGTCCAAAAAAACCTAATTACTAAAAATATCTACTGAGAAATACGAGACTCCAAGAAACTGAAGAGATTGAAATCAAAGCAAAGGTAAGATTATAAACTAAGTTATTGCATGTTGAGTCGGAGAGTTTTTAGTGCCAACATTTCTCTAACCTTTCATCATTGAGTTCTGCACAACACTGAAGCCGTACTTAAAATACTTTCAGTTTTGACTGTATTCATGGAAGCTTCACTTTCTATACTAGTATAAAACACGAGGTTTACACATTGCAAGTCTTTACTTGTGCCATACTATGGCTGCAAAACTAAATGTAGTTTTACTTAATTAAGCTTCTTGTGCACAATTCACCGAGATGTTGTACAAATAGTCACTATTTCTAAACCTTTACTCTGTAAATATTGGTAGAAATTAGTTCACAGAACAAGGCTAACTAAGCTTACTGGAGAAAGGTTGTGCTTTAGTTTAATCAAATCTATGATAACTTTGAGAGACGATAAAAAAAACTACTTAATAATCTTGCAGTGACTGATCTAGTAACACTGGGCGAACTCATTGAGACAAGTTACATTTCCTTTGCAACTGAGTGTGAAACTAGTGAAAAAAAAGACAATAATCTCAGCTAATTTCACGTAAAAGGCAAACCAGTCTATAAAACAAACAAACAAACAAAATTGAACTCTACAACCAACGCATTGAAACTATTGGAAATATTCAAATTTTATTTGTGTCTGGAAACTGACGTGTACCTATAATGATAGCGAATATATGTGATATACAAAATGTATGCTATAAACATGCCTATAAACAGCTTACTTACAAAACTTACTCCAAAGTAAGAATCAAAAACTCTTAGTTATTATAGTTTCTGAAAACATTCACACTAGCAAATGCCATGCAARCAAGTATCAAATAAGTACTTATATTTAGTGGTTTTCTAGCCAGGAAATAATGTAAAACGTTTGTCCACCAAATTGTTTTGTTCCTAACACAATCAAATMGACAATAACATCGTTATATATACTTTGCAAACAAGAACAATTCTCAAAAGAACACCAATGTTTCCTTCCCCTTGAAATCGTGATGTTAACTTGTCAGCAAAAGATCTGAGATTTGAGGATATCGAACGAAAATTATTAGAAAGAAGATCAGTTTTGTTCTTTGGTTTTCCTACCAAGAAATCGAGGCGTTTATAGTTGAAAACACCTTAGTTTAGGTAAGTCTCTGTATATTGATGGCTATTTGTATTATACTGTCAAGAATGATGGACAAAGGCACATTAATCTCTCTTG